ATCCCGGGGGGGCAGGATTTGTCCCGGGAAGGGCAGGATTTATCCCGGTAAGGGCAGAATCTGTCCCGGGGAGGGCAGGATTTGTCCCGGGGAGGAAAGGATCTGTCCTAGAGCGGGCAGGATTCATCCCGGGGAGGGCAGGATTTTTCCCGGGAAGGGCAGGATTTACTCGGGGAGGGCAGGATTTGTCCCGGGGAGGAAAGGATCTGTCCTAGAGCGGGCAGGATTTGTCCCGGGAAGGGCAGGATCTGTCCCGGGGAGGGCAGGATTTAGCCGGGGAGGGCAGGATTTATCCCGGGAAGGGAAGGATCTGTCCTGGAATGGGCAGGATCTGTCCTGGAGGGGGCAGGATTTGTCCTGGGGAGGGCAGGATTTACCCGGGAAGGGCAGGATTTATCCCGGGGAGGAAAGGATCTGTCCTGGAACGGGCAGGATCTGTCCTAGAGCGGGCAGGATTTATCCCGGGGAGGGCAGGATTTACCCGGGGAGGACAGGATTTATCTGAGGAAGGCAGGATTTATCGGGGAGAGTAAGATTTGTCCCAGAGTGGGAATGAATGTGGGGATTTGTGGGATCTGGGAGGATTTTGAGGGATTTTGGGGGTCCCCCACTCCAGGCCGGCTCTCCCAGCCCCTGTCCCCCCCTTTCTCCCCCTCCGGGGCATTAAACCCGAGCCCAGCTGGGAAGGAAATGGAAACCCAGAGCCCGCGGCCGGGCAGGGTCAGAGCTTCGGGCGCTGATGCAGGGATCGGGTCAGGATTCATTAAGTCATTAACTCCCTTTTAATTGCAGCCCTTTCTGGGGACGCCGTTTCGCCTGCGCGGGGACAGCGGCAGCCGGGACGGTGGCACCGGCGCCTCCCGCGGTGTCCCCGCGCCCCGGGGATGTCCCCAACCCGCCGGGGTCGCCTCTTGGTGCCCAGACCCCTCCGCTCCGCAAATTCCCTGCGAGCCCGAGGAAGAGGAGGATGGGGGAAGGTGGGAACCGGAGGGGCTGCGGGGTTTGGGGGGATGCGGGGTTTGGGGAGATGCGGGGTTTGGGGGGCTGAGGGGATTGGGGTGGATGCGGGATTTGGGGGGCTGTGGGGTTGGGGGGCTGCCCTTTTCCCTGGCCCGACCCCAATTTCCTTGGAGCTGACAATTCCCAGCCCCCGGAGCCTTCCCGGATAACGCGGCCGGTTCCAGCCGGCGGGGGAAAGCCGGTTAAGGGCCGGTAGGCACCGGGGAGAAGCCAGAAGCCCCGGCGGGGAGCCGGGCTGGCAGGAGGGCCCGCTCCCGTTCCCGTTCCCGTTCCTGTTCCTGTTCCTGTTCCCCTTCCCGGTCCCGTTCCCGTTCCCGTTCCCGTTCCCGATCCCGTTCCCCTTCCCGGTCCCGTTCCCGTTCCTGTTCCCGTTCCCGGTCCCGGTCCCGTTCCCGTTCCCGTTCCCGGTCCCGTTCCCGTTCCCGTTCCTGTTGCCCTTCCCGTTCCCGTTCCCGTTCCCGGTCCCGTTCCCGTTCCCGTTCCCGTTCCCGTTCCCGTTCCCGTTCCCGGTCCCGGTCCCGTTCCCGTTCCCGTTCCCGTTCCCGTCCCCGTTCCCGTTCCCGTTCCCGGTCCCGGTCCCGTTCCCGTTCCCGTTCCCGTCCCCGTTCCCGTTCCCGTTCCCGTTCCCGTCCCCGTTCCCGGTCCCGTTCCCGTCCCCGTTCCCGGTCCCGTTCCCGTTCCCGTTCCCGTTCCCGTTCCCGGTCCCGTTCCCACCGCCCAGCCCGGCACGGGGGGCTCAGCTCGGGGCTGCACCCCGGGTCGCGGTCACTCGTGGTGACATCGGCGACAATCCCGCCGCTCCCCAAACCCTCCGCGATCTGCCGCCCCCACACCGGGGCTGCGCGGGGGTCCCGGTGCCCACCGGGGGGGGATTTTTGGAGCTGTCTGGGCGGAAGGCGGGCTGGGTTTTAAAGCAGATTAATTAAGCTGCACTGCGGGGCCGCGCGGACAGAGTTCAGCCCTAATTCGATTTCTCTGACTTGCAAATCGCGGCAGGGAACTCGGCCGAAATCACATTAGGGCCGTTTCCACTCCGAGCCGCGTCCTCGCAGGCCTTTAATGCAGTTTGGCTAATTGAATTTAAACGCTTATTGAGCTTAATTCGGGTTTGTGCCGGGCGTGGGGCTGGGCTGGGACCCCCCGGGCTGGGCTGAGACCCCCGGGCTGGAGTGGGACCCCCGGGAAGGGCCGGGCTGAGACCCCCGGGAAGGGTTTGGACCCCCCTGGGCTGGGACCCCCGGGAAGGGCTGGGACCCCTGAGAAGGGCCGGGACCCCCGGGAAGGGCTGAGACCCCCGGGAAGGGCCGGGACCCCCGGAAAGGGTTGGGACCCCCCTGGGCTGGGACCCCCGGGAAGGGCTGGGACCCCCGGGAAGGGTTGGGACGCCCCTGGGCCGGGACCCCCGGAAAGGGTTGGGACCCCCCTGGGCTGGGACCCCCGGGAAGGGCTGGGACCCCTGAGAAGGGCTGGGACCCTCCTGAGCTGGGACCCCCGGGGAGGGCTGGGACCCCCCTGGACTGCTCTGGGACCCCGGGAAGGGCTGGGCCCCCCGAAAGGGGCTGGGCTGAGACCCCTGAGAAGGGCCGGGACCCCCCTGGGCTGGGAAGGGCCCCTGGACTGCTCTGAGACCCCCCCTGGGAAGGGCCTGGACCCCCCTTGTACTGGGATCCCCGGGAGGGGCCAGAACGGAATCCCAGCTCGGTTTTGGGGTGCAATCCCACAGACACCCCCAGAACGGGATCCCAGCTCGGTTTTGGGGTGCAATCCCACAGACACCCCCAGGAACGGAATCCCAGCTCGGTTTTGGGGTGCAATGCCACAGGCACCCCCAGAACGGAATCCCAGCTCGGTTTTGGGGTGCAATCCCACAGGCACCCCCCAGGAACGGAATCCCAGCTCGGTTTTGGGGTGCAATCCCACAGGCACCCCCAGAACGGAATCCCAGCTCGGTTTTGGGGTGCAATCCCACAGGCACCCCCAGAACGGGATCCCAGCTCGGTTTTGGGGTGTTATTCCACAGGCACCCCCAGAACGGGATCCCAGCTCGGTTTTGGGGTGTTATTCCACAGGCACCCCCAGAACGGGATCCCAGCTCGGTTTTGGGGTGTTATTCCACAGGCACCCCCAGAACGGAACCCCAGCTGGTTTTTGGGGCCCTCCATGGCCCCGTGTCCCCCCCGTGACCGGGGTCCCCCACAAAGGGCCCCTCTGCTCCCACAGCTGTGACCCCAGACCCCGGGCCGGGACCCCCGGGCACAGCCCCCGTGCCTGGGAATGGGGGAGCTCATCCCGCGGGAACGGGAACGGGAACGGGAACGGGAATGGGGTTGGGAATGGGGATGGGGGGATGGGAATGGGGATGGGGGATGGGAACGGGAACGGGAACGGGGATGGGGATGGGGATGGGAATGGGAACGGGGATGGGGGAATGGGAATGGGGATGGGATTGGGAAGGGATTGGGAATGGGAATGGGGATGGGGATGGGGATGGGAAAGGGAAGAGGAGTGGAAACGGGAATTCAGAATGGGGATGGGAATGGGAATAGGATTTGGAATGGGGAGAGCTCATCCGGCATGGGAACAGGAACGGGAATGGGCATTGGAATAGGAATGGGAAATTGGAATGGGAACAGGCAACACGAATCGGGCACGAGGAGGAGCAGAGCTCAGGGGGTGCAAATCCCGATCCGCAAATCCCAGATTTAATGGGATTTTCCCTCCTGTATCCCGCATCCCAAGGGGTCACCCGGCTGCGGAACGCGGCGCGGGGCTGGGGTGGGGTTTTTTTCCCTTTTCCCCCCGTTTTTCGGGATTCCCGGAGCCAAAGGGAGAGCGCTGCTTCCCTCTAGCGGCTCCGGGGACGGGAGGGGACAGGACGGGAATGTCCCCGCCGCTCCAGGGACAAGGGGACGGTAAATCCCGGTGTCACGGCTCAGGAAAGACAAGGAGCTGCTGGAGAGGCCGCAAAAATGATTTGGGGTCGGGAGCAGCTCGGGTGAGGAGAGAGGGGGAGCCGGGCCTGGGTAGACTGGAGGAGGGAAGGCTGAGAGAGGAAATGTCCCAAATTTCTGTGGAAATATCTGAAACATCCACAGGAATCTGTCACTGCAGAGGGGATCCCGTCAGTGCATGGGGAAAAAAATCTGAAATATCCTTGGAAATACCTCAAATATCCAGGGAAATCTGTCACTGGAGAGATTCCCACCAGTGCATGGAAATATCTCACGTATCCGTGGAAATCTCTTATTTTGGGAGAGGGATCCCACCAGTGCATGGGAATATCTTGGATATCTGTGGAAATCTCTTATTTTGGGAGAGGGATCCCACCAGTGCGTGGGAATATCTCACATATCCAGGGAAATCTCTTATTTTGGGAGAGGGATCCCACCAGTGCATGGGAATATCTCAGGTATCCGTGGAAATCTCTCGTTTTGACCCCACCAAGGCACGGAAACTCCTCCAGGAGGTGCCAGGCTCTGCTCAGCGGTGCCAGGACGAGGAGCAACGCCCAGAAATTCCCCACCAGTCCCACCTCGGCCGGAGGGAGAGCTGCCCACGGAGGGTGGCCGGGACAAGTGGCCAGGAAGGGGCTGGGGTCCCTCCGGGCGTTCTGTGTCCCACCGTGTCCCCCGCCCCCGGTGACGCTGCCTGTGTGACCTTCAGAGGTCCCTTCCCAGCTATCCTGGCATTCTGGGGGCGGGCAGTGCTGACCCCACCCGTGTCCCTTGTCCCGTGTCCCTTGTCCCGTGTCCCCCGCGTGTCCCTTGTCCCCGCACGCCCCTCCACGTGCCTTCCCCCGTCGGGACTACATCTCCCAAGAGCCCTAGCGCGCAGCGCGCCGCCCCAGCCAATAGCGCGCGGCCTTGCTCAGCCAGCGGGCCGCCGCGGGGTACACCGGAATCTATAGGCGGGCACGCAGCGGGCGCGGCAGCTGAGAACTACATATCCCAGAGAGCCACGGGAGGCGCGGGCCAATGAGGAGCGCGCGTCTTGGCGCGGCGCACAGGCGCGCTGGGTGGGGGGGCGGCCGCGGATTCATGTGGAGGTCAGCGGCGCGGCGGGAGCGGCGGGCGGGAGGGCGGCGGTGGGTCCGGGAACCGGGGAACCGAGACGAGGGCTGAGGGGGGACACAGCGAGGCCTTGGCCCCTGGGGTGGCCGTGCTGGGGGCGAGCGGCCTAGGAGGGAGCGGGGAGGGGAGGCCTGAGGGGCCGCGGTGCGGGGGAGGCCCGGGCGCTGCGGGGTCCGGGCCCGGGGACGGTCACGGGAGGGAGAGCCCGGGGCCGCGGTGTCTGTGGGGCACAAGGAGCCCCCAGTGCGGCTCGGGGCTCTGGGCAGGGGTCGGTGCCCGGTCGGTGCCCCGGGCAGGGGTCGGTGCCCGGTTCGGGGCTCTGGGCACGGGTCGGTGCCTGGCTCGGGGCCCCGGGCAGGGGTCGCTGCCTGGTTGGGGCTCTGGGAAGGGGTCGGTGCCTGGCTCGGTGCCCCGGGCAGGGGTCGGTGCCCCAGGCAGGGGTCGGTGCCCCAGGCAGGGGTCGGTGCCCCGGCCATGCCCGGTGAGGTCTGAGCGATGTGCGGATCTGCAGGAGCGCTCTGGAGCGGGGGCTGCGGCTGGAGCGCTGAGATGGCTGCCAAGGTGTTCGAGAGCATCGGGAAGCTCGGCCTGGGCTTGGCCGTGGCCGGGGGCGTCGTCAACTCCGCTCTCTACAACGGTGAGGGGGAGGGCTCAGCCCGCGGTTCGTGTTGCCGTGCAGACCCTGCCTCCTCCGGGCTGTTGTCACCCGGTGAAAGCAGCCCGAGGGCTGTGAGCTCCTGTCTCCCACAGTCACGGAGCTGCTCTGTGAGGAGCAGGCTGCGAGCCCCTCCTGCAGCTCCTCTTCGCTGTTAATTAAGCCGCGCTGTTAATCAAGCGGCAGCAGCGGCCTCCCTGAGCGCTGTTTCCCCCCCGCAGTGGACGCAGGGCACAGGGCTGTGATCTTCGACCGCTTCCGAGGGGTGCAGGACGTGGTGGTGGGCGAGGGCACCCACTTTTTGATCCCCTGGGTGCAGAAACCCATCATCTTCGACTGCCGCTCGCGGCCCCGCAACGTCCCCGTCATCACCGGCAGCAAAGGTGGGTCTGGGGGCTCCTCTTTGTCCTTCTGCGCCTGGAACCGTGCAGGCCGTGGAGCAGGGGCCAGAAACTGAGCGAGGTCACCTCAGTGTGAGGTCAGGGTGGCCAGGGAGGGCCTGGAGTGTCCCTGTGTGGGCCCAGAGACCCCAGCCCCAGCTGTGCCCCCTGCCCTGGCTGGGGGATGGCCAGAGCTCCCTCCCAGCCCCAGCTGCTGCTGGAACAGTCAGGAGTGGTTTGGGCTGTTTAATAAAGAACAGCTCCTGGAGCTTTTTGGTCCCAGATATTCGGGGTTGGAAGGGGCTTCTGGAGATCCTCCTGCCCAAACATCTCCCAGTGTGGTGGTCCCACACGTGCCAGTGTGACACGGGAATGGTTTCAGGTTTTTAATAAAGGACATAAAGAGCTCCTCTTTTGGTCCCAAATAGTTGGGGCTGGAAGGGACCTTTGGAGATCCTCCTGTCCCAAATGTTCCCTGGCTCTGGAGATCCCACAAGTCCCAGTGTGACATTATTTGGGGCTGGAATGGACCTCTGGAGATCCTCCTGTCCCAAATGTTCCCTGGAGATCCCACGAGTCCCAGTGTGACACGGGAATGGTTTGGTGTCTTTGGCCAAAGAACTCTTCTTTTGGTGAATCACCAAATCCTGAGCAGCTGGGGCTGGGAGGGACCTCTGGAGCTCGCCTGGGGCAGGTGACACTGGTGGGGTCAGGATTGTCCCTCTGGAGCTCACCTGGGGCAGGTGGCACTTGTGGGGCTGGGATTGTCCCTCTGGAGCTCACCTGGGGCAGGTGACACTGGTGGGGCTGGGATTGTCCCTCTGGAGCCACCCGGGGCAGGTGGCACTGGTGG